TTATGGGTCTCTGCAGTGATGTCTTGACGATTCATCAAAATGTTTTTTACCAACAGTTGGAAAAGGTGTCTTATCAACGAATGGTCACCTTCCTAATACTTATATAGACTTTATATTTTTGTAGAGCCCTGAACCTCATTTTGTCTTTCCTAAAGAATAATCTTTGCTCAGTGCTGAAATCTAACTCTGTGCCAGATTTCCATTCTACTTCATTGCACTTAAGTCATGCATGGCTCCTTCCTGATTCTGAGTTTTAAAAAGCCATAATGTGTCACACAGGTACTTTGGGTGCATTTGGAAGCTTGCATTACACTAATAGCACCTGAAAATGAAAGCTCACCGCTAATGTTGACAGTTGTGTGAACACAGATCACAGCTGTTGATGAAATTTTGTAGGCACATACATGTCCTCCTCAAGATGAAGTGTAATCAATTCAATTCAAATTAGCTTTACTGGCATGAATGTAATAACAACATTGATCCTCTGGCGTTTCGTCTAGTGCCAAAAATGATACTTAACATCAGCGTGTTAGCATTGTTATTGTGAACATGTTAGCATAGCAATTGAATCTGAGTCTTGTTTATCAGCGGGTATGCAGACTGGTTTAAGTCTACTTTCTTATCTGATGTTTTGCTGAAGTATCTACCTCCATACTGTAATCTAGTTTGTTCTTTGTGCTGTTAACTGGACCGTCGGTACACTGTCACTGAGACAAATGATAGTTTGAGACATGAAAAGACAGTGTTGAGATGCACCTTGCCAGGGCATAAATAAAAGATGAAAGTTGTTTGTGTTGCATGTGTTAACAAGTCCAAACGAGATTCAAGGCCAAGCTGGAATAAAACTACTCAAGTGTCATGGCTCACCCGCTTTGAATACAAGATCACATTGCAGAGGTGTCAGAAGGAGGGAGGGTGCCCATTCTGCTCTGTGTCTGCTAGATTTAGAAGGTATTTGTTTGCTAGACCCATTAATCATTTACATTGTTAGAATACTTAAAGGGGCAATATGTAGTTTTCAGAATCCACTAGCAGTGCGATTTTAAGATTGCAACCAGGCGTGTGCTCGTGCTCCTGCTTGAACCATGGGCTTGAACTCATGAGCGAGAATAAGCTGAAACACAACCATATTCATACAGATATCCAGCAATAAACGCGGAAACACTGGCATGCCAGCTGTGGCTTTTCACACAGACATGTTCATGCTCTGTTACGTTCCCGGCTCATACAGCGTAGCTATTGGCTCCCGGAAAAAAAGGCAATGTGACAGCGGCTATAGACAGACAGGGACACAGGTTCACACAATGTGCTGGAAACTCAGGTAAACTCCTACTGCAACGTCACCCTAATATTTCCACATTCCACAATCAGCTTGAGGTTGAACTAATCCATGCTGGTTACATGATAACGTTACATTTATTGCTTTTAGCCAAGGTGATACATTGCTATTAGCTCACCTGTCTGATTTTCATATGAAAATTATAATGAGATTGTTACCCACTTTAGAACAGTTAGACCGCAGTATGTAACATTACTGTATTGAATGTTGTCGCCGCTTTGTTGCAGTATTGTATATTATGTGTTCTATGTTAGCTAAGCTGCCAACTTTTCAGTTTAGTTTGGAGTGAGATTCTGTATTGGAGGTCGGTTCATTTTAGGCCCTCTGTGTCATATCCCAACGCAGGGGTCGGGGTCGTCACTCTTTAATGTGCATGGCGCAGCCACATGTATGCGTAGATGAAAAGCCAAGTCATTAATCATGGTCAGATCAATGTGATCAGGATACTTGCCAAGCTCCAAACATGATGGCCTTAATTTTGAGTCTTCCCCCCAGAATCTATGTGTCAAACCAGTATTTCTTTTAATTCTGGAGAGTGTATGGAATATTATAGTTTATAATGAGCAAGAGCGTAGGTCTTCCTTTAGCAACGTAGGAGCCACCTATTTAGTGGGGGGTCTGGGGGTGAATTTTTCTGCATCAGTTTGTGGTGGAAATGTATTTATCTAGGCTATGTCAATGGAAACACAAAACTCAGGCAGCAGGTGACAATTTAAAATATAAAATATACCAGAATATCATTCAGTAGGCTTTCAAGCATTCTGTATTTCAATGGCAACTTTTCACCGCAAGGATAAATGAATTCATTTTAATTCAGTTAGAAACTCTTGAATCTACTGAATCTTAAAAAATCTTTGCATCTATTGCACATATCTGTGTAATCTGACATCTCCAGAAAGATTTTTATGAGAATAATGTCATCATTTAATCACAATTCATAATATTTTTCTAAATCTCCCCGCCCTATAATCTGCTGTTCATTACTTGCTCTGCTGATATGATAGAATCCCAGACAGGCAGACACAGAGCCCGTTTGGGACTGTATGTAGGAGACCTGTGCAAAACGAAACTAACTGAAAACACTTCACCACAAATACACATGGTAACTTCAGCAGCTTTGTGCAGCTCACATTACCAAGAGAGCAAAGCTGTGCTTTAGATTATACATTTTTATATTGCAGAACTCTACCAGCTACATTACGCGACGACAAACTGTCTGCCACTCACTGTGCGATAGCGGTTTCGCTTGATTCCTGTCATTCCTGGAGTGTAATCGCGCAGAGTCGACGCAATTAATTATAGGATAACGTTACATTAGTTTTTCCAATGCGTGAGAAAATTGATGTATGGCGTGAGGGCATCCTTTCTTGCAGGCTAAATCAACACTTTGACATATTACCGGTGGTACACCAGATAGTAAGCTGGTGAAGTAATGTGGAAACGTTGCACCAGATAACGTTTACAGCTGCTCAGCGTTAGCCATTAAGCTAACATGACTCTCCGTCCAGCATTTCTGATGTTCACTGTTTTCACTCGACATCATCTGATTCTTGTTTGGCCTGACAGGCTTCATCACATAAACCTTCAGTGTTTTTTTGTATCTTTACGTGGAGTTTAAGTCTGAGTCTGTGGTGTGCTAGGAGCAGCTTGTTAGATGGTGTTAGTGGACTGCATGTCGTTAGTTGTGGTGTTGTTGCTGTAGTTGGAGAGAGGCTTGGTATTGTGCACGCAGCTACATCCTGATCCGATGCCTTAACATGAAAAGCAGAATAGTGGCTGTTCCAAGCAACAGTGAAAACAGGCGAGTGCTACAGCACATTGACAAAAAGTCAGTAAGAATTTGATTTATTAATAGGTGATTACATTGAAAAACTACACATAGTCCCTATAAAATGTTTGCTGTCTGTTTTTATACCTTTCTTTGGACTATGTTAAATAGTCAGTAGAATTCTATATGTCACATACAGTATTATAAAGGTTGAATTTTCTGAAAACATGTACTGTATGTCTAAATGTCAAATGTTGTTTACATGTTCTCCATGTGGTGGATGTCAAAGTCCAGTTCCCTCCCATGTAGGTCTGATAAATTAGAGACTCTAAATTGCCCTTAAGTGTGAATATGAATGTAAATGTTTGTCTGTAAGTATCAGCCCTGTGATAGACTGGTGACTTGTCCAGGGTCCAAGCTTCAGCACCCTGCGACCCTGCAGAAGATCAGCAGATAGAGATAATGGATGGATGGTTTACATACATCATGGTTAACTTCAAATACCACAAGGTTTTGGACAGGTGTGAATGAGATCAATTGAACATAAACAACAAAAAATATGGCAAATATGTCCGTGTATGTGTTCTCCCTGCGCTATGTATGTGTGTTCAGAAAGTTTGTGACAGTTTGGAGTAGATGTGAACTGTTAACGCTCACTGTGTTTATATCCACACCCCAGGATTGACTGGTTTGACCTCGCTAATTTATTAGGCTGCTGAAAGCCTCTTCGCTGTGGATCTACTGACAGCCTGTCATAGGTTTCATCACCACTTTATTGTGGATCATACTACTCATACACACCTCGCCCTATTAAATCTAACACTGCTGTAAGGGGCGGAAGTTAGAGACACTAAGAGAGAAAGAGACCGCTTGACGTGACATTTTACATTCCCAGTTCACTCATTAATGGCTGACTCCTTAAATAAATAGGAATGCAGATCTGACATACTGCAGCTGAGGACTGTAGAGATTCGGCAGCAGTGAGGCCAAGCTCAGGACTGACACCTGCTGTGCTTATAATGTTTTAAAGTGTATTCAATTTCCTCTGACTGCTACAGATGGCGAGGTTTGGCAGTCAGTCCAGTACTCTTCACAGAAACGCATCACCACAACTACTGGCCAGAATGCCATGATGTTTGCTGTGGAATAGCATTTCCACCATCAGGCCAAAGTTTCACTTTGACCAACACCTTGGCTCATAATAAAGTACCTTAAAAACGGAAATTTCTGAAACATTTATAGTGGATACTCATCCCCACATGAGTAGGACAAAAATATAATATAATGTAGTGGTAATTCCTCTTGATCATATTCAAATTTGATAATTATGATCATTCTTAACTGATACAAAGTTGAAGTTGAGTGATTGACACACAACTTCGGCTATGAGAAATAACCAAGATGTATACTAAATAACAGACAAAAGGCCTGGGCTGTGTGTGTCGTCTGCATGTAATTTAATGAAGGTAAACATAGCGGATGGCCGTGTGTAACAGCACTGCACTCTGGCTCAACACTTCTCAAATCGGACTAGGCTACAACCGCTTTCTACTAATAGCCTGCCGATTAATAAAAGGAGGTCAATCAGTCATAACTTTGTATTGTAGCGTAGCCAACACTGCACATTGCAGTTCTGCATAGCAGCCCCTTTGTTAATAATCCCTGATCTAATCTGACCAAATCCACACATACTAATTAATGTACACAAAACAAAACGAGATTGTTTTTTACATAAAAAAAAACATTATAAGTATGTAAATCTGTCAGCTGCCTTTCCTGCATGCTCTCTCTATGTCTCACAAAAAAACGTTTTATTGATAAACAAACGGAATAGACATTCGAAAGCGTTGTGGGGAAGCTACGATAGGGAAATCCGCCATAGCGCCGGGCACGATGGACCCCCATATAACCCTACGTAGAAGAAGGAGATGAGGAGACGGGACAGAGAAAGGGGTGGGCGGGAGGGGTGCGGAATGCGAGAGTGAAGAAGAGGAAGTGCGTTGTGTGGGTATTTATGGAAAGCCGGGAGTGACGTAATTGATGTGTTGTCCCGCTCCTGAAACTCTGCTGGTAGCAACACTTAATACGCCTTTCATGCTTACCACCCTGCTTTTTTTGTCCAGAACCACCATCGGGTCAAGATGTCCTTGATCATCACTTTTCAAGGTTAATTCTGTAGTTACGTATTTGGGGGCCTTCGTTGTCATGGTTAGAAAAATAACCACATGGTTGAGGTTAGGAAATGATTGTTGGTCATGGTTAAAAGAAACCAACCTCGACTGGCGGTTGGAAACGAGAACTGAAGTTGTTGAGCCATCCATCCACCCCAACCTCCTCCCTCTGCCGACTATACATACTGTAACGCTCTGTGATAACCGGACTTCTTCCTTTGCTCCCGGCGGGCAAGAGTCAGAACTTATATGGCTTTTTCTCTTGAATGAAAGCATCTGTCATTTTGGGCCATTTTCTGAAGCAATAGATGCTGTTTTTACTTTGGAGGACAGTCTAACATGGTTGACTGGTGAAGGCTATGTACTTTTGCATTGCTCCCTTAGACATTAAAAGATAGGTCTGGTGTTAGGTCTATATTTTTCTTATTATCTACAAATCCCACGTCTGAAGAGTACATCTTTAAAAACACCTCACAAATATAAAGTTTCATTAAAAAGAAAGACTCAGTAATTATCTAAAACAGCTACTCACTTTAGTTTGAACAAATGTCACTAAAACTGGAGGAAACGGCATTTGATTTCACTGGCAAATTAATCCAGATGTGGTGCTCTAGGGAGTATTTGGGGCAGCAGGACGGTGTATATGGGATTAGGTCAAAATAAACTAAAGTTGTAATAGTTTCTGGACAACAGTGGATCTTTATTTCATAGCGGAAGGAGATATATCAGTCTTGGGATACACAAACAGTGCTGGTTATTAGAATACATTCATTGTTGGTTTATCCTTGTTGGTTAAAGTTGCTGTTTAAGTTTCACTTTTGATGGTGCTACGGTAGTAGTGTCCAATTTCTACTGGTCTTTGTGCCAAGCCAGACTCTAGGTAAAGTGGTTAACACAAGGGTTTTATCAACATGCCAGAATGTTACTTTAAAATACTCTCATTTAGTGTATTTAGCCCTGTATTTATGTGACTGTACTGAACTCTGTTTCCTTAGGTCTGATCTCCATCCTCTCTCTCTCTCGCCTCTTTGTCTTTCAGGGCACACAGGTCGGTTTATCAAAGCGGTATTCTGTACCAGTCTGCTGTTTGTGCTGGCTCATATCTGCTTCCAGACAGTGCTATACACCTACCCTCCTCTCAACATCGCCATAGGTGATAACTGTTCACAATGGGACACCATAACCAGACATATAGGACTGTCCAGGTATGTATCTAGTGTTTGATTAAGTGCAGTTAACCATGTCACTGTCACTGATGGTTGGATGACTGATCGGGGGAAAGGGTGTTGATCAAAATAGGAGAGTTTGTCTATCCAGATAATAGTTTGCTATGGTGCAAATTTGATGTTCATACATTACAAGTAATATAAGACGAGCACATTATCAGTTGTATACACAGAATAAACATAACACACAATATAGGGTACAGAACATTAACTAAACAGCAGCAATGCAGATATAATACAAAATACAAATCGACAATCTCAGCATATATAGTGCATATCAATGTTGAATGAAAGCACTTGGAAAAACAGGGATTGTGCAAGGTAATAAAACCTGAGGCAAAATCTGTGAACATATGCATGTGTGTGTCTTGCAGGCTTCCCCTGGATGATCCTTGGAGTGTGTTACGCCTTCTGTGTCCTGACCTGGGTGTGTGTATGGTTGCCTTGGTAACAGTCATCCTCTGCAGCAGACTGGTCAGGAACAGAGAGATGGTGGCTGCTGCCAACATTACATCGGTGAGTCTGTGTGTGTGTGTGTGTGTGTGTGTGTGTGTGTGAGACACACTGTGTTTGATAAATGCTGTGGATTATCAGGTTCATGATCAGATTTGCACTCGCAGTAACTGGTTTAGTTGCCATAGTAAGTCATTAAACAAGAGTTCTGCTCAGACCTAAATGATACTAACACTGTCTTTATTGTTCTGCCTTATGACGAGCTCCATGTTGATGAGTAAATAATAGAACTGATAAGGCAATTGTCTAATCTTTTCGTTGTATATTAGATTATTTGCTGCCAAAACTGGTAGGCTTATGCCTGGGAATTATTGAAATGGTTTGATAAATGGCTCAGCAGTAGGTAGCTGTGTTTTTGCATCTTTCATAATTTCTTCTTGGGCACGCCTTCATTTTCCCTCAGCCCTAAAAGCAAGTTTCAAGTTTATTTTCACTTTTTTATGCTAAGCCGCGCCTCAGGCCTTGTTAATAGCAATGTTGTACAATGTGTTTGTATCCTGTTGTGCTGTCTGCTGCTGTATGTTAAACTCTGTGTGTGTCTACGTAATGTTAATGCAGGTCTGGATTAAATTAGCCTCAGTGACTTAATAGTTATTTGCCCTGTTTAAAATTTGACATACCTTGTTTTGTACGAAAGCTGAATTATAGCATAATGAAACTATAGGAAGTTTCCAAAACCAATACTTAATTCGTCTTTTTAGTGGGCTGCCACAACAGTTACCAAGGTAACCGAGATTCCCTAATCTCAGGCATAACAAACTCAGAGTCTTCACTAAACCTGCTTTCTGAAACAGGGCCCAGACCTGCAATGTGTAACGTTGAAATGTGGCAACATGCAATAAGAAAAGCAGTAGAATCTGTGTCTAAGTGTACCATTAAACCCCTGGGCGTTTGCCCTAACATAAACTAGACATGTACTGCAGTATAAGCAGTGTGATAGCAGCAGGGATCCTGTAAAACTTTCCATACACTTATATTTAGACTTAACATTTCCGTATGCAATAAAGAAGAATCCCACAGAAGTGAAACCAAAAATTCTGATTTATATAAACAGTAAGAAAAGCCTATTACTGCATAAAATCTTGCGCCTGTATTTGGGGACAGCTCTGTCAGTAGTGTTGCTCAGTCGAGGGAAGCAGACACAGCGGTTTATGGATTCCTCTGCAGGTGACCCATGTAAACACAGCGTTACTTGTATGTTTACAGAACCCACCACACACTACAGTACATAAATAAATGATCAGTTCATACATTCATTCCAAGGGGAAAAAACATATCCAAATATAATTTTGTCATACTGCATATTACAATGTATAACATTACTAGGAGGGTGTGAGTAAAACCACGTGTCTGAGAACATTTGCCTTTTATCACTACTTTGCCTTTCCTTTTCCATGTTATTTGGACACATGCTTCAGAAAGCCATGGAAAAGATCCTGATAAATATTTTGTAACTCCCAAGAATATATATATATATATATATATATATATATATATATATACACACTAAACATAATTAACACAAACTCCAATAAGGCCTATTTCTTTCTCTCAAATATTGTTCACAAATCTGTCAAAATCTGTGTTAGTGAGCACTTCTCCTTTGCCGATATAATCCATCCACCTCACAGGTGTGGCATATCAAGATGCTGATCGGACAGCATGGCTATTGCACTGGTGTGCCTTAGGCTGGCCACAATAAAAGGCAACTCGAAAATGTGCAGTTCCATCACACAGCACAATGTCACAGATGTTTTGAGGGAGCGTGCAGTTGGCATGCTGACTGCAGGAATGTCCACCAGAGCTGTTGCCTGTGAATTTAATGTTCATTTCTCTACCATAAGCCGTCTCCAAAGGCGTTTCAGAGAATTTGGCAGTACATCCAACCGGCCTCACAACCGCAGACCACGTGTAACCACACCAGCCCAGGACCTCCACATCCAGCATCTTCACCTCCAAGATCATCTGAGACCAGCCACCCAGACAGCTGCTGCAACAATCGGTTTGCACAACCAAAGAATTTCTGCACAAACTGTCAGGAACCCTCTCAGGGAAGCTCATCTGCATGCTCGTTGTCCTCATCGCAGTCTGACTGAAACTTCGCACAGCCATTGAAGAGGAGTGGACCAACATTCCACAGGCCACAATCAACAACCTGATCAACTCTATGAGAAGAAGATGTGTTGCACTGCGTGAGGCAAATGGTGGTCTCACCAGATACTGAGTAGTTTCCGCCCCCCCAGACTGCATGAAACTGCACATTTTCAAGTGGCCTTTTATTGTGGCCAGCCTGAGGCACACCTGTGCAATCCCCATGCTGTCTGATCAGTATCTTGATATGCCACACCTGTGAGGTGGATGGATTATCTCGGCAAAGGAGAAGTGCTCACTAACACAGATTTATGAACAATATTTGAGAGAAATAGGCCTCTTGTGTACATAGAGGAAGTCTTAGATCTTTGAGTTCAGCTCACAGTGAATGGGGTCAAAAACAAAAGTGTTGCATTTATAATTTTGTTCGGTATACATATATGTTATAGATGTGTTCTTGCATCCAGTCTTTTTGAGAATAAGTGAGATGTGTAGTTTAAAAGATACTGCTTGTCGTCACATTACTGTCCACATCCACATTTCTACATGTTTACATAGCAGTGACACATTTAAAGAGCTGTATCGCTGAGTAAAAAACTGTTACCAAATGCTGGTGTAAGCGTTAGTGGTGTCTTTTTTTTATAGAGAGTTAAATATTGTTACTTTGTGCAGGATAAGACATGACTGATACATGGAGAAAAATGTTTCTGATCAGATTTTACTTTACTGTCCAAATGGCTGATCCCTGCCTTAAAGACCTTGATCAAAATCAGTTAGGGGCTGTATGGCTAGATTTTGGATCAGCTTTTGAGTTTGGTTTTGGTTATGGTTTCTCTGCACTCTCTTGGAGCAAAAGTTATTTATCCAACAGTAATCAAAGAGTTTATTACAATGGCTGCTTTTCAGATTCTGCAAATGTTTGCTGTGTGGTTCCACAAGGGAGCTGCCTTTGTCCTCCGTCTCACCTCAAATGACCTTCCATTCACCTTGGATCAAGCATCCATGGTTATTGTTGTTCTCTGTAATATATATTTTAGTAGTTTTTAACTTTGGAAAATAAATACTGACAGACACACCTTTTATTCATACTTTGTTTCAGTTGATGTCATTGAATGTCATAATCACTGACCTGATTTCCATTAATAGTCAGTCTCAATATTGAGAGTTTTTTCTTGGTCCAGCAGTTAGGATTGGCTAAAAGGTGTTTCATGGATACATCCTGACCTACATGGAAATACATTCTCGTGCAGTCACTGCATCTGCACTGTCTGTAACTGAGGAAAACATACACAGTTGTAATATAATGTGTGATATTATACAGTACTTTAGTAACTGTAACTTTCTTTTTTGTCCCTCTCCCACCTTAGCTAGAAGGTGATCCAACAGACAAAACCACAGATGATGAGGAGGAGGAGGAAGAGGAAGAGGAGGAAGAGGTATCAGGAGATGAAGATGAAGAAGAGAGGTCATTAACTGGTGAACCTGACGAGGAGGTTTCCACAGCAACCAGAGCCAAGCAGCTGGCTGAGCGTCTGAAGGCCACAGCCCGGAAAGTTCTGCGGGACCTGGGGAGAATCTTGGCCGTCAGCCTGCTGGCGTTGGCTGGTAGGATCAGAGGACAGATCCCTGATGACATTGTTTTATAAATCTTTTATTGAGTCCGTCTTTACTTTTTCATGTATTTGCTGGTATGCTTCTCTTAGTTTAAAACGGAAAAACACATTAGCAATGGTAAATAAAGTTAGCAGCAAAATCATTGGGATTCAGCAGATAAAACCCATTGGTCTGACCCTGTATTTTTAATCGATGTTGTCGTCTTTGTTGTTATGTACTGTGTGTCAACTTCTTTGCTACTGCAGCAAAACTAATTGCCCCTCGGGGACAAATAAAGGTCTTGAACTTGAACTTGAACAACACTACCTACTCAGGTTTCCACCCAGTTTGTAAAGTGTGAGCACAGTCCAGATAGAGGTATTTAGTTCACACTGGGTGCTCACATTCAAATTTCTGCTCCAACAACATTGCTGTCCATACACTTATAGTGAAGAAGATGTGTGTTTGACTTTAAGTAGCATAGCAGGGCTGCAAAATGAAATGAAAGTTGTAGCCCTCTTTCACGCTACACTCACAGAACATATATACAGTTTATTTTTTTGCCCACAGATTTCCACAGTATCCCTTGGACAAAATTTTACAAATAAATGAAGGGAAGTCACAAATATAACGTGACCCACAAATGGACAGGAAATGATCCACAAATGTGCACAACCCATTTCACATGTACAAATCGCTCCCTACAAATGTAAAAATACATGTTTACATGGGTACACATTTGTGGATTGTCTTCTGTGGGTTACAAATAATGGTCTATTATATTCAAACAGTAAATTCCAAGTTTTCCACTCATTTGACAGAAGGTATTTAAAAATCCAGTTGTATGAATGAGTGTCGGTCTGTGTGCATCATGTTTGTCTCTGACCTCTCTTCCTTTTCTCTCCCAGGCATCACACTGCCCTCTGCCTTCTCGGCCATCTACTTCCTGCTCTTCATCGGCGTGTGCACATGGTGGGCATGCCACCTTCCCATGAGTTCCCTGGGTTTCAATGCACTGTGTGTGATGGTGGGCTTCTTCACTTCTGGTCACATGGTTTGTCTGTACTTGTACCAGAGTCTGCTGGCCCAGGCCCTGTTTCCCCCACACAGTCTGTGGGCCAGGTAAGACGATAGATGCAAAAGGTATACGAAACCAGGAAATGTTTATAAAATGTATAACTCTATTACAAGTTAAGAAGACAGGTAATACACAGGGTTAATTAGTTACAAGAACAACAACTTTATTAAATCAATGCACAATTGTCATTAATCAGAATAAAACAATATGTTACAAGGTACAAGGTAGATTTATTTTTCACAGTCCAAAGGGATGTAGAGTGAAATTGAGTTTGTAACTCCATTTTGCTACGTAGCAGACAATATACATTAAAGAAAAGCAATTATAAAAATGGCAAACAGAAATAAACTATATTCAATGGAGCAGTACTGAGGATGAAATAGAGGCTTTTTAGTAAATTTAGTATCCTTTGGGCTCTGCAGAAACCTCACCTCACCGATATCACTGATGTTCTGGAGATGGGTATCAATGATCTTCTGAGCAGTTTGAATCCCCCCCTGCAGAGCCCTCTGGTCCTGGGCCGTGCACATCCCATGTTAGTGATGTTTCCAGTCAGGATGCTTTCTGTTGCTCCTCTGTAAACGCTGACAAGAACTTGGCGTGGGAATTTGGCCTTCTTAAGCTTCCTCAAGAAAATATAGTAGTTTCTGAGCTTTCTTCACCAGTGTGGAGATGTGAGACGACCATGTCAGGTTCTCTGTGATGCTGATTCCCAGGAACCTGAAAATGTTCACCTGCTCCACCTCAGCTCCACTGACTTAGACAGGAGTGTGTGTCTTTATCTCCTTCCATCCTCCTCCTCCTATCTTCCTTCTTAAAATGAAAGATCAGCTCCTTAGTTTTGCTCACTTTGTGCAGTAGGTTGTTCTCTGAGCACCACACTCCAAGATTATCAATTTCCTCCTGATACGAAGTCTCATCGTTGTTTGAAATCTGGCCGATGATGGTGGCTTTGCCTGCAAACAGAGATCTCTCCATGTCGGGGGATGGAGTCGGGGTGTACAGTGTGAACAGGAGGGGGCTGAGCACACAGCCCTGGGGGGCTCTGGTGTTGAGCACTAGAGAGGAGGAGGTGTGTCCACCAATCCGAACTATCTGGGGTCTGTTTGTGAGGAAGTCCAATATCCTGTTGCAGAGTGTTGAATTTAAACCCAGAGTGCTGAGTTTACCCAACCAGCTTCATGGGGGACTCCAGACTCGCTAGTCGCTAGACGCTAGACGCTAGTGACGCTCAGATGCTCTTGCGTAGCATAGATTTTGAATTGATTCTCTGCATGAAGATCGCCACACCTATCTTCTCTGAGACTTCCACTGCTTCTTCTTCACACCAGAGAGAAGACCTCGATCTGTCATTGTAATACACCATTGTGGAAGGGATCATGGAAAGGGTGAAAGCATTGAGGAAAGAAATTCAGGCTGCTTTCAAAAGCCAAAGAACATGCTATACAGAGGTATTGGGAACTTAGAAGATGACACCCCAACTGGGGCAATCCCATAGGGTCTTCACTGCCTTACCATCTAAAGTCCCTCTAAAGACATGGCAGATGACAGAGTCGTCCTATCTGTTAGAAAGGTTTTTATATCATTTTTTCCATGCCACACAAAGTATAATCTTAAATTCAGAAAGTATATATTCATCTCCATTCTAGGCCAGGTCTACATACTGGAGAAGAGTAGTCACCTCCATGGGTGCTTTTTTCATTATGCTTACTTGTGCTTCCTCACCTTCCCCCTTCACCATCTTCCAATCCTATACCACTTCAGATATATTGTTAATATAGAATGTATAATATAATTGCTAAGTGTTCTGGCATCACAAAAAGCAGCATTTTTTTTTTGTTAAAATACACATGTGCTGATTGGCCCAAAAGGAGCTCTGTGAATCTGCACTCAACTGCTCTTCCTCAACAACCAGATGTGTGTCTCAATCACCTGAAATTGAATTGCAAGAACTGAATATGAAAGTATATACAGAGTTGAATTTTCAGTGAGGATCGAATACAGCTCCACAGCAATTGAATACAGTTTCATAATATTATGTTCAGTTTCATGTTTATTGGAATTCACTTCCAAGTTCCATTCCAAAAGATGATCTTCAGATTCAGTTATTTGATGCAGATTTTCAAGTTAAACAATTAATTCAAATTCAGCTTCTAGTAACACATATTTCCGCCCATACTGGTAACAAATGCGTGGCTAGAAACTTTGGAAAACGAGTAGCTACAGTGGCTGGTGAGCAAAAAAGTTAGTGTCAAGCCATGTGTATATGTGTGTCTGTCAGATGCTGTAAGGTTTTGAAAATGTTCTCAAATATGTGGACATTCGTACCAGTAGGTTTGACCGGAGAAACAGCTGTGCAGCTCATCATAAGTAGTTGTGCCACTGACGCTATGGAACCAAAAGCAGCTTTCGGCTCCTCCGTCCTCGCATCTCCTCCTCTCTCACGTCCTCGCTGGGAGGACGCTAGTGAGGGAGACACGTTAACGTAACGAAAAGTGTGTCGTTTTTACTCCCACCATGTTGCCTGCTGTCTTCACAGTTTATTGAATAACAGATGATATTCCTTAGCCAGAGGGTTCAAAGACCATGTTCCTTCCTCTCAGGAAACCTTCAATTTTCAGGCGCCGTGTGCTCGTAATGTGTGGAATCTCAGTGGAAATGGACTGTAAAGAAACAATAGCAGGAGCGAGTTTAGCGACAGAGAAACAAAATAGGAAGAAGAATGTCTGAGTTGGGGCAGAGGAATGTGAGGAGTGAGGGATTTCTGGACTGATATGTGTGGAATGGCTAGTTAGCAGCTGTAACCTACAGGCTCACCTTACCCTAGCTAAACTGTAGAAGGATGAGCAGCAGTGCATTCTGAACATTCCACTGTGACGTGTGATCTCTCTCCCTCTGTGTTTCTCTTTCGTCTTTAATCACCAGGGTTCTTGGCAGGACTCTGTGTCAGTATCACTCAGAGTATCACTCATCATCCATCAGTCAAGTCTGACCTTTACCTAAGGAGGATACCCAGCCGTCAGCACACTATGGGTGTGTCTGTCTGGGTGTTTTTATTTCTATACTTAGGATAACTCCTTACATAGTCATCATGACAGTAATCGGTCTAGACAACTAAACTAATCAAACTTGAGTTTGTAGTCTTTCTCGGGTTTTTGAGTATTAGACAATGTACTCTGAGTAAACATAAAAAAGGGGGTTAAATGATGATGATCATGTTGTTTGATAAAAGTATTCAATTAAAGAACACAAAATAAAGTGTATTAGCATGCCAGTGTGACATGATAATGCCTTACCAGAAGCGTAGC